AGGTTTGCACCACACGCTTGTTTTTTCCTTGAAACGTTTTTTGGTTGGTTGGTATCTCACTAGGGAAATAGTCCATTCCAAGTGACCATTTGCGACGAAACCTACATCATCGGATGCTTTTTTCTAACACTGACCTCATAACTGCTTTCAAAGTATGCCGAGGTTTTCTTTAACGATGTTATAAAGACTCTGTCCATCATGTCGTCGCACACCTCGTCACTTTTAAACCTCTGTTTTTTTTCATGACCGTTTGGCACCATTTTTCAAGAACTGTTGCACCTTTTTCACCTGCTGTTCTTTCTGTTATCCTTTACTCGATCTCTTCATCTGCTATTGTGTTTTCATAGTGTGTGGTAAGGTGCATAATAGACATAAGTGGATATAGTGCAAAGGAGATTGTTTATTGAGGGGTTTACTTCATGGTTACGACAGTATAGCTAACATATATTGTTGCAAATACAACACCGTGAACTGAAGTATGTTTGGGACATTTTCGTTCGTTATTTTCTCTGGGTACGGAATTCCCTATAATTTATCCAATAGTAAACATCCGTCAGATTAGGTACTGAAGCGTTCTACTGTTGCATAAGTCTCCGCCGCTGACGGCGCCGTTTCGGCGTCATCGCCTGTCTCGAGGGAATCGACAAAAATTTGTATACGGGTTATTTGACATACTGGTTACAAAAATGACATTCAATCTTATCGTTGGCGCCAATGTACGGCGCTTTCACCGTCTGTGCTCTGCTAAGGGTAAGCCTGGCAGGGAGAAAATCACTTTTTTTCTCAGCTCGGTGCATGTAGTGTCCCGTGCCAGGTGCTGGTAATCAGCCAGGAATGAATTCTCTGAGTGAAGTCGGCCCCGAGGGGCTTTTTCATCAACATTAGGCCACGACTTCACAAGTGTCTTACCAGAAGTCTAAACAGCTTCATAGGGAGGGGTCCAACCAAGTAGTACGGCTGTTTGGTCCTTCATCCATCCGAGTTTCTGCCCTCTATTTCTTTTTGTCGGCTGTAAACATTATTCTCATATGTCTCGCTTACTTTCCAGACTACTCATCTGACAAGTTTTCCAACTTTTATTGCTCTTAGCCCTATAATAACCCTCCTCTACCAGACAATTTCCTTGCTCTGCTGTGACATCAGTGGTCTTGTATTACTGCCTTACAGACCCTCTTAAACAGTGTCTACATAAATTATATAGCATTTACGGTTCATTTCGGCCGGAAAGCTATTAACAGGGTAGGGTCCTTGGCAACTGATTACACTCTTGTACTGTCACTGAGGTTCTCGTTTATCTGCACATTCACCTCCTTTTAGGCTAGCTGGAATGAAGTCAATATACCTTTCCAAAAGATTGACTTCGAGAAGAATTCGCTGATTGGTCATGGACGATTCGGGAATGTACGTTGACGCTTGATCTTGTGCATGCATCAGCTAGCATCAAAGCTTTTTGATTACCTTACTTTATTCAGGTCTTACGTGGCTACCATTTCGGTGACGTCGCAGTGAAATTTTTGAATATGAATCACATAGAGGAGTCGAAGCGCTTGGATGAATTTAAATCTGAAGTCACAGCACATAAGGTTCGTCTCCAAGCGCTTGTTCCCCTGTTTCCTGTAGTACTAAACTACCTCCTTACAGAATACCCGACATGATAATATTGTTCTATTTCTTGGTTACTGTATTGAATCGGATAAATTCGGGATTGTAATGAGCTTATGTAAAGGACGTCCTCTCCATTTTATCCTCCACGAGATAAACGAACCCGTCGATTTAGGAACAGCTCTAATTATTGCTACTCAGATATGCCAGGTAATCCATTTGTTATAGAGTTTTTGAAATCAGTATTCTGTTATTGTGGCAAAATGGCTTCCCTGACTGTGAAACGGCTGTTTAAGGGAGTCTCATATCTCCACACGAAAAAAATTCTCCACAAGGATCTCCGTTCTAAGAATATTTTCATCGAAAGCAAGAACAAGGTGGTGATAACTGATTTCGGCTTGTTCAGTATGAAGCGCTTAAGACATCCGAGCAGGTATCGTGTTCACGTATAACTCCCTAGTTAGTTTAGCAAGCAGTCCCATCTTCGAAAATTATGCGGACCATTGCAGGAATAACACGATGGTGGTACCTGTGCATTGGTTATCATACTTGGCTCCAGAACTCATACGATCTCTATGCGAAGACTGGCGAGAATTACCATTTTCTGAAAGTACGATGTATTTGCGTTCAGGTATTACTGATTACTCCTTCCTCACTTCTTGCTGGTAATTAATTCATTTAACTACTCTCCCTTTCACTTTTGCTTGTTGCTTCTCCGCCAACATTTTCATTACTTTGAAATTATGCTATCTCTTAAAACTCCACTTGCCTAATATGCGTGGCTGTCCCGGAGCCTCATTGCAATCTGAACATGCCAATTAACGTTAAGAGAGGCCACCAAACATTTATTTGGCTAAAAAAAAAAACTAAAGATTCAAAAGAATCCAAAACTTCTTGCAAAAACTTCTTTATCATTGGCTTTCTAATACTTCCTTCGTAATACATCGGCTGCGCTAGCAGCTTACTTTAAGCGATCTGATCTTTGCTTTCTCAGTATCGCCTCCGCTTGCCCCTCCTTGCAAAAGCCGCCGACTTGTAGTGTTGACCTTTAGAGTTTGCGGCTCTTTGCATAAAAAGGGGGGCAGCAGCGCGAAGCGATATGGTATAAAGGTATACGCTTCATCAATTTGATGAACTCGCGGTAGATATGCATAATGTTCCCTCGTCCTCTCTGACGCAGGTCCACATGGCTCATCAATTTCACCCTAATGTAGTGCTGAGGTTAGTATGGGGAAGAGGTTTTTATTGCATGGTTTGTTGCCTATTTCTACTTGGCTTGTACGCCCTCGTTTTATTACTTCCCTCCGCATTTAGTTAGTATACCTAACGGTTTATGTTTTTCCTTTGTTTCGTTTGATTTGCCAGCGGTTTGATTTGCCTTCCAGCGGTCTGATTTGCCTTCGAGTTGTATGCTCTTAATATTCATGTTCTTTTTTGCTGTCGATGGTGCACTTAAGTGCTATTAAATAAATAAATAAATAAATAAATAAATAAATAAATAAATAAATAAATAAATAATAAATATTGGAGGCAGCAGATCAGGAAGAAGGTTCTAAGCACCGAAATATTCGAAGGAATTATTAGAAACAACAAAAAAATTTCGCGAGAACTTTTGGATTTTTTTTGAATCTGTTGAGCTTTTTGCAATAAAATTTTTGGTGCCTTTTTTACGTGTTTCATGTTCAGATAAAGTGCACACTAAAGGTACCCAACTAGATAAGTCTATGAAGACTGCTTGTGTTCAAAGATTGCAATGAAAGAAAAGTGTGCATATCGATTCGACGTCTTCGACTTTTCGGCGATCCCACGTTGAATGCGAAGACGTCGAAGACGTCGTCGAAAACGTCGCATCGATATGTGTTCTTTCCTTTCAGCGTAAACTCATAAACCGTAGGTATCGCAACTTATGAACACAGTGTTTTATCATTATAAAAGCTATTTAACGCCGCAGTTCGTGCTTCGAAAGTTCAAGGATGTTGAGATAGGGGACAGAAGTCGGGCCCGGGCGAGACGCGAACCCGCTTCTCCCACTTACCGGTTGCGTTACCGATTACGCGTTTTTCTGCCGATATCGGCCTAACCGGCTCATCAGGTTAAACCTGTGAGTGCTAAGGGGCTATGGCAAAAATGCCCTTGAGCTGAGGCGGTGGGAGTGCCGACGGGCAAGAGAAGCAATTTGCCACTCTC